CAGTAAGCGGCGTGGGTCCCGAGGCAGGAGCGGCCGGGACCAGCGAGAGGAGAGCCTGCGCTCTTTAGGGCCCCGAGGGCAGGAATGAAGGAAGTGGTGGGCAGAGCCGGGCTGAGAACCCACAGAGCCCAGGAAGGAAGTCAGGGCCCCCAAAGCTGAGGTGCTGCCTGTCAGGTCAGGAGGACCCCGAAGTGGCAGTTTGGGGCAGGTCCCCTGGAAAGTGGCCGTGGGGCCAAGGCCGAGCGCAGTCTCCCAGGCTCTCCTGCTGGACTTTGCCTCAGCGGGTGGGGGCCGCCCCGCCCTGCCAGCCTGGAGAGGTGGGGCAGGTGGGGCAGGTGGGGCAGGTGCGGAGGGCCGGGGGCCTGCAGATAGGAACTTGCCCAGGCTCCCCGCCCACTGCCTGTGCCCGGGGCACCACACAGCACCTGGACCCTCCCCAGGGCGGGCTCTTCACCTGTGAGACTAGAGAGGCCGTGGAGAGTCGGAGACAGAGACGGAGACAGAGACACGCGGCAGACAGAGAGGTTCCAGTCTCAGTCCGTCTCCCCTGCGGAGCCCACCATGTGGGGCTACCTGACCCTCCTGCCCATCTGCCTGGCCCTGGGGGCCACTGCCGGAGTCTGGACCGTGTGAGTGTAGGGAGAAGGGCTGGGAGAGGGGGCCGGGGGCTGCTCCCGGGCTGGCGGGGAGGTGGGGGGTGGCAGCTCTGGTCCCAGGTCCCTGGAGGCCTCACCCCCCGCCTGTTCCCACCTCAGGTTTGCGCTCGCTGTGGTCAACAGGCCCCTGAACCTCACGGCAGGCTTCCCCTACATCAGGTGTGGCCTGGGGTCTGGACGGAGGGACCGAGGGACAGAGGGACACGGCTTTGAGGAGCCGGGGTGACCCCTTTGTCCTCCCCAGTCACTGCGGGAACGACCCCCCTGAGAGCTGCGTCTTCAGCCTGGTGCTCAACATGGGAGCTGCTGCTGGTAGGGCCCCAGCCCGTCCTCCAGCTGAGCCCGACTGTGCTTCCCCCAGACTCCTCCCTCAGAACAGGGGTTCATGCCCCCGGGCTCCTCGCCCGGGCATAGGGCATATAGGGGTCTAGTCCCCCAGCCTCTTCCCCCAGAACTGGGATCCAAGTTCCCAGCCTCCTGCCCTGGCGAACAGGTCCAGGCCCCAGTCCCTGTCACTCAGCCCTAGGGGCCAGGCCACCCAGCCTCTCCTTCCTCCAAATCCTGGAATTTGGCCCTGATGCCTGGGACCCTCCTCACCCCCCCTCCGCAGACCCCTGGTGGTCCCAGGAGTCTGTCCCAGGCCTCTGCCCCTCTCTCCCAGCTGCCTGGATCTGCACCATCCGTCACCACCAGCTCCGGGACTGGGGCGTCGCTCGGCGGCCCAACCAGGCCATTCTGTGTGCTGGCCTCCTCTGTGCCCTGGGCACCTCCATGGTGGGCAACTTCCAGGTGAGCTGTGCGCCCTGGCCTGCCCCGTCCCGGCCTCCACTGCCCCCACCCTGAGCCGCAGGCCCCCAAGGCTACTGAGAGGCCCCATCGTCCAGGGTCGCATGGCTCTGCAAAGCCCGGTGTGAGTCTCCATGTTCCGATCCATGCGGGTGGGCCCTGTCAGCTGGTCCATGGTGGTCAGAACCAACCTCAGATTCAGAGGCCCTGGGGCCCACAGCTTTAAGTTGTCAAAAATAAAAAACAAGCTTTTACAGGACCAGCAGATGGCATAATGGTTACACCGCTGGACTCCCACATAGTCGACTGCGGTTCTAGGCCCGGACCCAGTGGCTTAAAACTCACACTGGGTGTGTGTGCGTGCATGTCCCAAATCCTGAGAGAATGGAGGATAAGGGATTGTGGCGTGGCCATCCCCCTGGGGTGTGATTTCTTGCTTTCTAAAAACCTCTCTAAAAATAAAATAAACCTTTTTTTTTTTTTTTGGAGAGATTTTCGCTATAGGGCGCGTGCGCTCGCCAGACAGACAGAGACATAGAGACAGAAAGCGAGAAATCACCCCCCAGGGGGGATGGTCACGCCGCAATCCCTTCTCCTCCATTCTCTCGGGATCTTGGGCACGCACGCACACACGCCCGGCGTGAGTTTTAAGCCACCGGGTCCGGGACACGAACCGCGGTCGACTACGTGGGAGTCCAGCGACATAGCCATTACACTAACTGCTGGTTCCCAAATAAACCTTTTTTCAAAAGATTTATTTATTTAATTTTATTTATTCATTTATTTTAATTTGACCAGAGAGAGAGAAAGTGAGAAAGCAAGCCACCAGGTCCGGGACTCAAACCATGGTTGGCCATGTGGGAGTGTCCAGCACCTTAGCCGCCACGCCACCTGCTGGTCCCCAGTAAAATAAACCTTTTGCACACCAGGTACATGTGCATGCACGCCCAAACTTCCGAGAGGATTTTGAGAATAGAGGAGAAGGGATTACAGCATGGCTATCCCCCGGGGGGGGGGGGGGGGGTCTGTTGCCTTCTATCTCTGCCTCTCCTGCGAGTGCACACTGCCTATAGCAAAAATCTTTCTCAAGAAAATGCAAGGGAACCAGCAGTTAGCGTAATGGCTATGTCGCTGGACTCCCACGTAGTCGACCGCGGTTTGCGTCCCGGACCCGGTGGCTTAAAACTCACGCTGGGCGCGTGTGTGTGCGTGCCCAAGATCCCGAGAAGAGAATGGAGGAGAAGGGATTGCGGCGTGACCATCCCCCCTGGGGGGTAATTTCTCGCTTTCTGTCTCTCTGTCTCTCTGTCTGGCGAGCACACGCGCCCTATAGTGAAAACTAATCCAAAAAAAAAAGGGAGAGAGGGAGAAAGAAAATGCAACCAAACAAATAAATAAATAAACTTTGAGGGGCCAGCAGATGGCGTAGAGGTTAAGGCACTGGACTCCCACGTGGCTGACCTTGGTTTGAGTCCTGGTCCTGACAGGTTTAAACTCAAGCCAGGCCCATATGCATGTGTGCTCAAAATCCTAAGGGGAGAATGGAGGAGGAGGGATTACAGCGTGACCATCCTCCCTGGGGGGTGATTTCTTGCTTTCTGTATCACTGTCTCTGTCTTTCCAGTGAGTACATGTGCCCTATAGCAAAAATCTATCTCTAAATAAAAAAAATTAAGAAACGCTTTTAGAGACATGCTCTTATTGTTGTGCCCAGGCAGGCCTTGAACTTCTTTTTTTTTTTATTTTTTTATTTTTTTTCTTTCTTTTTTTTTAATAAAAAGTGGTTGAACTTCTTTTTTAAGGGATATTTATCTCATTTAATAGTTATTATTTAGTATTTTCTTAATTCACCAGAGAAAGAGAGAGAAGAGAAGCAAATTGGGAAAGCAAGCCTCCAGGCCTAGGACTCGAACCACTGTCAGCCGCCATGTGGGAGTCCAGCACCTTAACCACTACACCACCTGCTGGCCCCAGGGCTTGAACTTCTGATTTTCTTGCCTCAGCCTATGGAACAGCTGGTTTTATAGACACATGTGCTGGGCCCAGTTTTGTTTTCTTTAAAGTTTGCTTTAGGGTGCATGCACTGGCTGGAGAGAGAGAGAAAGAGAGATAGAGAGAGAGAGAGAGAGAAAGTGAGAAATCACCCCCAGCGAGGATGGGCACGCCACAGCCTCCTCTCCTCCATTCTCTTGTCAGGATTTTGGACACGCATGCACGCATGCCCGGCATGTTTTTGGAGCCACTCGGTCTGTGGCTCAAACCACACAGTCGGCCACATGGGATCGAGCACCTTAAGCTCCGCCACCTGCTGGTCCGCCACATGGAACTTTTACTATTGAAAACGTCAGCGTGGCGGCTCCCCTGTCTGTACCACTTAGGGCTTTTTCACCCCCACCGTGGACAGATTTACCCGCTTAGGGCAATATCCATGCCTCTCGCCCCTAGACTTGCAAGGATTACCCTGCCGTGTTTACTGAGCCCAGCGTGGGTCTGGGGCCAAGAGTGAGCCAGGGGACAAGGGGCCTAGTGCCCACTGTGGCGCTGACCACAGCCTCCGTGCCTAGCCGGTGGGCATGGCACTTGGCCCGTCGTGGTCTGCTGGGCTCCCAGCCCCCCACTGGGTGTCCCTCCCAACCTCCTCCCTCCCCCAGGAGAAGAACCAGCAGCCCACACACCTGACGGGGGCCTTCCTGGCCTTCTGCATGGGCAACCTCTACTTCTGGCTGCAGCTCCTAGTCCTCTGGCGGATGAAGAGCCCGCCGCAGCCCGGGGCACCCTGGATCGGGCCGCTGCGCCTGGGCCTCTGCAGCCTCTGCACCGTCCTGATCGTAGCCAGTATCCTTGCAGGGTGGGCAGGCGGGCGGGCGGGCGGCATCCCCTGCGCCTTTGCTGCCAAGCCCCTTCCCCGGGCTTCAGTCTGCCTGGGGTGCAGCCCTGGGGTCACTGCGGGACTCAGGTGCATGGCCACCCCACCTCCATGTTCTGGAGGGGGAACAGCTTCCGCTGCTGCCGTGCGTGCGTGGTGCCTCAGTTTCCTCACGTATGGAAGGCGGCTGGCAGGGCCCCTCCATACGTGACACACGTGAGGCACCTGGGCCCATGCCTGGCATGTAGAGGGGCCGATGCATCTCGGGGGACTGACAGTCGGCTGCATGCCCGCGTGGTGCCTGGACTCATGCAGGCCAAGTCTCCCGGCCGAGACCCACCGGGAGTCATGTGGCGCAGCCAGTGGCGACCGTGGACCGTGGTGGGCGTGTCTACCCCACAGCAGTGGCGTACCCACCTGCCAGAGCTGGCTGCTGGACGTTGGCCAGAGCCTCACTGGGTGGCGACTCAGTTCCAGCTCGCTGAGTCACCCCAGAACCCAGACGTGCCACCAGCCTTGCCCGTCTCGGGGTGGGTCAAGTCCTGCCTGTCCTGGTGTCCGTCATTAGACGGAGTGGTTTCCATGGCAGTGATGGTTACTGTGGGGAGAGGGCAGAGTGCTCTGCAGGGCAGGAGGGCCGTGTGGGAGGGCGGCTCCGGAGGCTGGGGCAGCTAAGACGGCCAGTGCTGGTTACCACCCTACTCTGCTTTGGAGTTGCCCAGCCAGGTGGAGAGGGCAACCCCATCCCTGGAGGGCGCGACAGGCCGACTCCCCGCCGCGGGTGGAAGGGCCCATGGGGCCTGCAGCCCTGCTGGGTGATGAGGCCCAGCCCCTCTTCAAGGTCTTCAAAGCTGGCCTGAATCGGGTTGCTGCAGGGTCCCCTCCGTGGGGCCAGGGAAAGGGCCACACAGCCACCGAGTGTGACAGGGCCGGAAGCGTGCCAAGATGGGCCTGGTCGTGGAGAACCCGCGGCTGCTGGTCCAGAAATAGAAGCAGGGGCCGCTGCAGGTGTGCGGAGGGCGAGAAAGCCCGCTCAGGGAGGGCGGGAGGCCACGGCGCCAGGCTGGGTCTCTCCAGCGGGACTATGAGGAGTCAGGAGTATGGGCTCCTGCCTGGGAACAATGGGGAGCCCCAGAAAACAGCCAGGAAGGGTCGGGGCAGCGGGCCGGGCCGGGGCTTAGAACCCTCGGATGCGTGGACTGCAGTCTAAGGTGGTCCCAGGGCCCAGCTGGAGCCCACGCAGACAGTGGAGGATGAGAAGCAAGAAGATGGCTTCCGGGAGAGAGATTCCAGAAAACAAGTCGGCCAGGTGGGAGCCGCAGCTCTGGGCTAGCAGGGGCGGGGGGCAAAGGGACAAGGCAGGGCCCGGAACAGGACGCAAGACGCAGGACGCGGAGAGAGGTGAGGGGCCGCCCGCGGAGACCTGAGTGTGCTCATGCGTAGATGGTGGAGCTGCCAGAGGTGGGACACCCAGAAGCAGGAAGTCTTGGGGAGAGATGAGCTGTTCGGGGTGAGGCAGGCCCTGCGGTGGCTGGCTGGGGGGCTGCAGGTGAGGATAGCAGGGCCTTCCTCAGAGGGGGCCTCGCGGGACTGGAGGCTGTTGGGGACACTGGGAGTGCGCCCTGACGAGGAGTACCCAGGGACACATGGATACGGAGCTGGGGTTGGTGGGGCTGGGACCTCTGAGATGTGGCAGGCGGTGGGCCGCGGGTGCGCCTCCCCGGGGACACGTGGCGGTGGTGGTGGCCTTGACTCTGTGGCAGTGGTGGTTCTGCACAGGCGGCTGCTGCGCTCGGCCTCTGCGGCCTGCGAGTGGGCAGTGGCCCTGCTGCTGTTCGCGCTCTTCGGGCTCCTGGCGGTGGACTTCTCCAGACTGGACGGCCGCAGTCTGACCCTCCGGCCCCGGCCTGGGCCCGGGGCCAGCCGCGGCACCCCGCCGGCCTCGCCCACCTCCCTGCAGGTCCAGCTGCAGCAGGCACTCTGACCCGGCACCCTCGCCAGTGGAGACAGAACGAGTTGCACCTGGGCCCCCACCTTCTGGGATGGATGCTGGGGAGCCCTGACAGCTGGGGGTGACTGCCGACACGCCGTCCTGCAGCCTCGTGGCCGTGGGCGCTCCCAGTGCTGGCCGGGGTGGCAGCCCCATGGCCTGTCCCTGTGGTCGCAGCTGCGTCTGCACTCGGGCACCAGGAAGCGAGAGGCCGAGGCCAGCAGCTGTCCCTGATCGAGGCGATTTATTATCATCATCGTTTTGTTTTGTTTTTTGCCGCCGGCGGAATCAGAGACACAGACGCAGGCAGGGTCACGCGAGGCCAGAATCCCTTCCGGAGAGCAAATCCGTACAGAAGGCATCGGGGACGGGGAGGACCAGGAAGAAGGGACCCGGGCAGGGGGGTTGGGGACGACATGGGACAGAGGACCCTGTCCGGATCTGCTAAGCCACCCCGACCAGCTCCCGTCCCTCCCCCACCCCACCCCGCAGAGAGATTGATCAATATATAAAATAATAAATTAATCAATAAATAAAATAGAAACGGCTCCCCTGCCCCATTTCCCTAGACCCCTCCCCTTGGGCACGGCCCCTGAAGCCCCACCCCTGCAGGGCAAGGCCGGTGTGTCTCCCCCTCCTGACAGACTCTGTGGGCCTTATTTACAGATTCACAGTTGGGGGGCAGGGAAGGGGGGTGGAGGGGGACCCCCTCCTTCCCTGGCCCCCTGGGGTCAGGGCAGAGGGGTCCCATTGGTGGCCAGGAGCTTCTTGTCCTTGGGGGGACCTCGGCGGGGAGAGCTGCTGAGCTCTGGGTCTGGTCGGCCAGGCGGGGGCTGCAGGCTTCGGGGTGGGGTAGCGGCAGGCCGGGTCTGGGCCCCGTTCTTCTCATCTGTGAGGGAGGAAGAAGTTCTGCACGGGCTCGAGGGGTCGAGCTTCTACCTGTGGGAGGGGTGGCATCTCTGGACCCTGGGAGGCCAGCTCCCTCTGCAGTGCCCACAGCCCAGGCCTCCTGTGGCCAGGTGCCGCGGGGCCCGGCCTCGGGAGAGCCTCAGAGGTCCGGGATAGGCCTCGCAGCCCCGGAGGGTTCCCGATTCGTCCCCCACTGGCTCACAGCCCGAGGGTGGGCGTGCCACTCCCCACTGTCAGCCTCCTGCGTGCTGGTGCTGGACCGATCCGGGCTCTCCCTGTGTCTTCCTTTCTTTAGGGAGTGTGGCCACTTCTTCTAGGGGACTGTGATAGAAATGTGGGTGGCCATCTGGCAGTTTCCATGGCCTGGAATTTCCTCAGGGACTTTTAGGCCCTGAGGTTCCCCGGCAGAGACCTGGGATGGGCAGAGATGGGCCCAGTGCTCGTGGCCGGTAACCGCTCCCAGGCTGACTCGTGCCCAGCCCCATGTGTTCTGCATCCCTGTGGCCCCTCGGGCTATGGCCAGGGTCTTGCAGGCCCTCCCTCTCAGGGGTGCCCTTTGAGGGTCCCTGCTAAGGCCAGCCTTCCCTGGCACCTGGCCCAGTGGGCGTGTGGCTTTCTGGCTGCCCTGGCACCGTGATGGAGAACAGGGTCCCCGTGATGCTATGGCATGCGGGCCAGTTGGCCACCTATGGGGCTGTTCTGGGAACGCGGGGCGTCCTGCAGCCTCCCAGCCTGCGCACCTGGTGCCCCCAGTGCCCCTCGCCCATGCCTGCTGAGACAGCCGAAAGGTCTCTGGCCATTGCCAAATGTCCCCGGGCAGCCGTGGCAGGCCCCCAAGGAGGCACCACATGGTGACCCAAGGGGAACGGGCAAGGACCCTGAGGCAGTCACCTCGACTATCTGGTGGGTCTGACTCAGGCATGCCAGTCCCGAGGAGAAGGCTACGGTCAGAGGGACACACGGCCTGTGGCTTTGGGACAGGAGGGCTGCACGTGACGTCAGGGTGGGCAGCTTCGGGAGCTGGAGGGGCAGGGAGACGGGAGGACTGGCGGACCTGGCCTCCCGCATCTCGCAAGCCAGCATGGGGCTTCGGGCCTCCGACCTAGGGCGATAACTTGGTGTGGCTCCAGCCACGGAGTTCACAGTCATTTGTCAGCAGCGGCTAAGGTCCCTAGTCCAGGGCCCCCAGCTAAGGGTCCCTGCTTGGGAGCAAAGACCCGGCCCAGGACTCAGCATCTTCTGGTGTTGCAGCCACCCTGGCTCCTGCCCTCCTGCTGGGCCTGCTCTCCTGCTTCTCTTCCACAGGGGAGGTGGTCCCCGAGAAACAAGCCCTGCTGAGGCCTGGCCTCCACTCTGTCTCTTGGTTGCTAGGAATCCCACTTCCTGACAACTGGGCTCGGTGAGCCCAGGGATGCTTGCTGCCCTGGGCACAGCTCGTCACACCCCTGGACACGGCTTACGACCCGGTGGCTGGGGACCCGTGGGCCCAGCACCAGGTGGGGTGAGGCCGATCCTGCAGAGGGTGGCCAGTCAGACCCAGTTTTGGACCGAAAGTCCTGCACCCCAGAAACTCCCCTCAGTACTAGGGAAACAGGGATGGCTGGTCCAAACCTCTGCTGACAGGTCTTCTGCTACCCCTGGAGACCACTGCCCCTGAGGGCCCCCCCCCCCGGCCCCGGGCGGGGGCCAGGGTGGGGG